GGATCTTATAATACAACGAAGTAGCTAAAATTCTGCATTACAATTCATAATCACTGAACTTGACGATTTACAGAGATATAAAGTGCATATTAGTTATAGATATATGTATAATTGAATAATGGATTTACTGACAGTGCTTGAAATATATTATGCATGAAGATGGGAGTTATTTAATTAAAAGTATGATGTTGACATGGGAGTTGTTGTTGTTGCGTTGATATATGCAAGGATTACGTTATTGACCTGATTATTTCAGAATATTTGCACATAGGTTATTATGTTAGAAAATGCACTGTCATGATGATATTGTGGTCATAATTTAGAATTTGAAAATTGAATGAAAAGGAGTGGAATCGGCAAGGAATATAGTTAACAAGCATGTAGTTGATACTCTGTTTTATAAATGATTCCGGAAAATTAATACATTTAGTTCAGATTTAGAAAAAGATTTGAGTATGAATAACAAAATACTGTGTTTTGATTTTGATATCTTTGAATCTGATGTTCATTTCTAATACTCAGCAAATCTAGTCTTGTATCCTATCTTCTCCCCATCCCCTCTCTGTTACATCCCGAGAGGGAATAATAAGGAAGGTTTGGGGTACAGGAAATAGATCAGGGTGTAAGACTATATCATATCTTGCATCTCTCTGCCTTGTATTCTTGAGATTCAAAGGAAGGACTCAACTTGATTATCACGAGGAAATTCATGTTTTCTCTCATTATTTAGTTGTCTTGGAAGTTAGAACTTGTTATTAAGAGATGAAAGCTTTGGTAGTAGTACTCGAGAATTGATTTTTCTCCGTTCCTGTCAATTTATTTTCTACTCCATCTCTCTAAAATTTGATTGAAGTATTTCATTTTCTTGCATTTCTATACAATTTAGAGTGTTAACTACATGCCTGTTTACTTTATTCCTTGCTGATTCCTCTCTTTTCTACTCTATTTTGCATTTTAAAACAGGACTACCTTGACATTTTTCTCAAGAGATAGATTTTCATATTTGGAGCATAAACAATGTTATTCTTCATAACAACCACATCTAGTAGATATAAAACACATGAATTTTTAGCATATTTTCCTCAATGATTTCTCAGATATAATGACGTCATTGTTTTAATTGTTTGTAAATTTGCACTTCTATGATTATAAAATCATTCATTTCCTGTTATAAAACAAAAGCTTAACAGTTAATAATTTTGCCATGATTCTTTCATTTTACATAGAGTATTACGTAAAAACAACTGAATGCAACGGAAGCTTGTAAAGTAATGCAGGAACTCATCATCTATCTTTAACATTGACCTAAATATAAACATTCGGTTAAATCAGTGGTTTTGCCTCTTAACAGAGCATATTAGCCGTAATCTACCCCAGGTAGATACCTTATTAAACCAAACAAGAAGAGTTAGTAAGCTCGTAACTCATTCCAAAAAGGAATGCTGAAATCAAACAAGGACACGAGAATCGCTTGTAATATAATATCTGTATTAACATAAAATAACCTTCAATCGGGGTTAGGCAATAAATATACATGAAGAAGCTGCAAAATATATTAGACTTCTGAAAATGGAACATTTAATAAACATGGCACCTAGAAAGCAGAATATACGAAAAACATTAGATATAATTTATACTGTTATGATGTTATTCATTGAACAAGATAAAAACAGTATATTGAATTGATATACAGAGTAATGCTTAAATATGATGTGGGATAACACAAAAATATCGTTAGATTTGGATGAAAAAACTGCGACGGGACTCATGACGTGTGTTGGCCAGCAACTCACTCAGGATATTCTAGAGTAGGTCATTTATAATATGTATATATTTAAAACTCAGTCAAATGCATAGCTTCAAAGATATTATGATAAATGATTTGCTCAGTTTGTACTTTTTTGGGTTCTGTGCAATATAGAGTAAGTCTATATAAAACTCAGTTTATTATCTCATGCATGGGCACATGAAAAAGTACAGCTTATATTAATGGCTGTTTTGCTCAGTTTTGAGCTATTTTTTGCATCTTTGCACCAGACTGGATTGAGTCTTTATTCACCTCATCTTAGGCAAGCAGGGAGGAGTATAGGAGGGGAACAAATGCTTATGGGTTTGCTTCGTGCATAGTTTGTGATGACTTGTTGTTACATAATTTGTTTTCATTGTTGTATGCTATTGGATATACTTCTGCTATATATGAAATTGAATATTATGTATAAAGTTAATGTGTTCGTCTATGTTGTTAATGTAATGGGACATTATCAACCAATGTTATACATAGGAATCTTAAAGGTTCAGTATGATGCAAATCATTATTTGAAGATTCACAATGATACAAAGCATATCCTGAAAGTTCAGATTAATTTGAATCATAAAGATTCAGAATGGGCAAAGCATATTCTGAGTGTTCTAAAGGATGCATTATCCTAAATGTTTAAAACAATGCAAAGCAATAATGCAAAGCATATCCTAAATGTTTAAAACAATACAAAGCAATAATGCAAAGCAATATCCTGAATGCTCAAGATAATGCAAAGCATATCCTAAATGTTTAAAACAATGCAAAGCAATGTCCTGAATGCTCAATTTAATGCAAAGCAGATCCTGAAATATCAGGTTGATGCAGAAAACCTGGAATAAGACTCAACTTATATCACCAATGCAAAGTATACGAAAGTCAACAAAAAAGGTATTTGTGCACCTTGCTCAAATACCACAAATATACAATTAGAGCCCTGGAGGAAACAATGGCAGCTATCAATAAATAAACATGATAGGAAGTAATTATAAGGTCAATAGAAAGTTACAATGTAGGGGGTGTTTTTAAAGGACATGTATTGGTGCTATAGCTATTGTTGTTGCATTAGTTTTGATGTCCTAAATGAGTGCATCTATTTGATTCTTAACTTCTCTCCTTCTGTGCCTCTCTCCTTCTGTGCCTCTCTCCCTTTTTGCCTCTCTCCGTCTTTGCGTCTGTCCCTCTGTGCCTCTCCTCCATGCCTCCCCCTCCTTGCCTATCCCCTTCTTTGCCTCTCCCCCTCTTTGCCTCTCCCCTTCTTTGCCTCTCCCCCTCTGTGCCTCTCCCCCTCTTTGCCTCTCTCCCTCTTTGCCTCTCTCCATCTTTGCCTCTCCCCCTCTGCCTCTCCCCCTCTTTGCCTCTCCCCCTCTCTGCCTCTCCCCCTCTTTGCCTCTCCCCCTCTGTGGCTCTCTCCCTCTTTGCCTCTCCCCCTCTGTGGCTCTCCCCCTCTATGCCTCTCCCCCTCTGTGGCTTTCTCCCTCTTTGCCTCTCCCCTCTATGCCTCTCTCCCTCTTTGCCCCTTTCTCCCCCTCTGTGAAAGAAACAAACAAATTAACTCTCCCTTCTCCCCTCCGTTCACATATACACACTTACAGGCACATTACTTTACATTTGGAAAAGTGGTTGATGTGGGAGGGTGCACATTACTTTACATTTGGAAAAGTGGTTGATGTGGGAGGGGGCACATTACTTTACATTTGGAAAAGTGGTTGATGTGGGAGGGGGCACATTACTTTACATTTGGAAAAGTGGTTGATGTGTGAGGGGGCACATTACTTTACATTTGGAAAAGTGGTTGATGTGGGAGGGGCACATTACTTTACATTTGGAAAAGTGGTTGATGTGGGAGGGGGCACATTACTTTACATTTGGAAAAGTGGTTGATGTGGGAGGGGGCACATTACTTTACATTTGGAAAGGTGGTTGATGTGGGAGGGGGCCCATTGCTTTACATTTGGAAAAGTGGTTGATGTGGGAGGGGGCACATTACTTTACATTTGGAAAAGTGGTTGATGTGGGAGGGGGCACATTACTTTACATTTGGAAAAGTGGTTGATGTGGGAGGGGGCACATTACTTTACATTTGGAAAAGTGGTTGATGTGGGAGGGGGTGACATTCCAGCGGAGACTCTATGAATAATAATAATATAAGAGATGATTCATTATCTTAAAGGATGTTATTAAAGGGGAAACATAAGGGCATTCCTGTCAATAAAATTTATAATAACACAATATTTAAATAATAAGGAATAGATCAGATTAAAAGGAAGATTAAAGCCAAATAAACAAAACATTGATGAACGACTTTCAAGAAATTTCCAAACTTTGTCCAAAATATTTGTATTTCTCAAAGATATTGCGGATATATCGGCAATCTCCATCAATGACATTCAAATATAATATATAGGGGATCGTTAATATATCTCATTAATATGCATTGAGTGAATTTGTCGCAATGGAATTTTCCAGAATCAATTGTTTTGCAAATGTTACAGTCACCTGCCTTGTTGATAATTTAACTGGCATGTATCTATTAACAACTCTCATAAAATCAATTCATATTTGTGTTGTCATTGTGACAGTTCTAATTAGATTCTAACAGTTAGGTTAGCTGAGGACATTGAATTATAAAACAGAGAAGTTGTTGGTTTAGCGAGTAAAAATTGTGGAATTGAAGGAATAATCGGGAGTTATTTATCAAATTGTGTATGTCAATGGAAGTCTCTTCGTTGGTTTCATATTTTTGTGAGGTTTGGGATGCCAGTGTGAAGCATGGTGGAAGGTGAGTTTATGGGGAAATGTGAGAATGGAATTTTCTGTTTGCCATAATAATTTGAATGCTACGTATTATATTTGAATGAGTGTTTGAATGAATGATATTATTTCATTTGATTTTATGTACTGTTTTCTGTTTTAGGGTTATTTTTATTACTGTATTTCTAGTCTTGCCTCAAGCCCTTGTGACCATACCTACCAGTACTTTTCCACCTCTATGAGGAGGGAAAGTAGATAGGGTCAGAAAGGGGGGGGGGGGGGGGTCAAGGGGGTTATATGCAAGACTGCTGTCAACCGTTTACAATACCCCTTAGAGTTAAATCTGGTTGTGTTCTATAAAGCATTAAGTTATTAGAATCTAGAGTTTTGATTGTTAAAATCAGTTGTCAACAATATTTTAAAGAAATGTATTTTTCTGTATTTTCAGTGGGGCCAGCACGGTTGCTATTGACAACAAGATTGAACAGGCTATGGTAAGCAAAATTTTCATAATTTCCGTAAAGTTTAAACTGTTCCATTTCCAGCCCCACTTTATCTCTCATTTTTCTCAGATTAGAAGCAGCGAGACGTTTGAAGTCATTGTCGCAGACATTGCGTGAATATGCTTCTAAAAATTTGAAAATTTTGTGAGATTTTCTCAAAATGTACATCGGTTTAGTCATTCCATGAAACATTTTAAAACTGATTTCAGTTTATTATGTAACCACCAGGCCATATTGTTATAGTCACCAACTTTTTTGTGGATGGCACTTGGAGTTCGGTATTTGGAGTTCAGCAGTCTGTGTCTGTAACAAATGACATGGGTCTGTAACAATAAATGACAGATGATGATATTTGGTGTGTTAATGCCTTGTTATAAATTTTTCTGAGTCCTTTGGACATGTTTTATACACCCCTTATCAATATTTATTTTCACAATGTATTGATCTCCAGTGTTTGAACTTCAATACCAAGTGAAGGTCATTGACCTGAATGTTATTTGCATGATAAAAATGTGATAGTAGATATAAACTGCTTAGGTTACAGTATGATCACTGCAAGCAGCTGTATTTAAACCACCTTTGTTTGTAGTGTGGTATTCAACACATTTTTCTGTTCTGCAACTAATAAGGAGTCCATAGAGGGCCAACCTTCTTCAGAGGACTTCATTTATGCTTAAATTCCCATGTAAAATACCCTTGCAGCAAGGATGATAGAAGGCTGTAATGAATGCTTTAGTCTGTGATTCTTCTCCACCCCCTCCCCCATACACTTTTCACCTCAAGAAGGTGAAATGTGGGGGAGGGGGTACATATCTTAGATGCAGGACTATACTAGATTGATGATGCATTGACCCCCCCCCCCCTTCCCTCCATACATTCCTTACCTCAAGAAGGTGATGTAGGTATGTGTTTTGGAGGGGGGCACCGATCTTAGTTGTAGGACTTACGATGCTACTTGCAAAAGACCTATTTTTACTTTAGGTATTTTGCCCCCAAATTAGTCTCATTTTTCAGAAATTTGGATTACCAGCCTTACTGTGTTGAAACAGTAAATATACATCAGTTAAACCTATACCATGAACACCTTAAGAATATGAACACTTTATGGGATTTACCAAATTCACAAAACCTGATATCTTTAAATAAAGTTCATATAATGAATTGCAATATATGAAAGGAATTTTACCAAAACGTACTTCCTGAAGGGCTAACTCTGACAATGGATCCTTTGTTCCATATAGCCAAAGAATCCCTTATATTTTTTGTTTGGATAAATAGGTGATATCATTCCAGATGGGGCATCGTCTGGATAAATAACAGTTTAGTGTTACCCTGATAAACTGGTCATATAATTGAAGACATTTTCAAATGCAAAATTCAGTATAAAAGAGTGGAATCAGCAAGGAATAAAGTAAACAGGCATGTAGTTAACACTCTAAATTGTATAGAAATGCAAGGAAATCTGGCCGTTCATTTAGAGTTTTGAGAGAAATTAAGTGAAATTAGCGTAACAACATAGAAATATTGGTGCAAAAATTAGTGTCCCAGTTGGTCCATCAATCATTATGTATCATCCTAAAGCTCTAGTTTATTCCTCCCTTGGTGCAGATATTATTGAAATTGCTGAAAGATATTTGCAAAATTAGTTGTTATTGTCTCTGGATATTCAAAATTGGGTCAGGGCATTCCTTGTAATTATGTACTATGTATTATTAGATTATGTATTGCCTATACATCCTTGTTATTGTATTTTGTGGTTATTTTGTCTTTTTTTGCAAAATTGGCATTTATTTCCCATGTATGCTTGAGAATTTTTCATAGTTGGATTAGGGTTTACCATAAATAATATCGAAACAAAAACAAAATGAACCTCATTTTTTATTGAAATTACTTTTATTATCCGCATGAGTCATTTTTCTGGAAAAACAGTCGGCAATAATTGGAAATTTTAGTGCAAATGTCAGTACAATCACATTTCTACAGTCACTTCCACAGCTTTGAAATCAGGGCGATAATGATATAAATGTCCCATGTGGGTGAATGAGTCCAGCTTCGGAGATGGTTTTTGACATCACCCTTTCAAATTCTCAAAATCACAACCTCATCTAGACTCTTTAAATAACAGATGATTATTTACCTTCCTGTATACTCTCTTATCAGAATATAAAGTAAAAAATCATGATTTAAGATTCCAGTATCGTATATTCATTTTATATTCAAACTCCCATATAAGACCATTGAAGATGCATTTGAGTCTGTTAAGATCATATGAGCATCAAAGTCATCTGAATCTCTCAGAGGGCAGTATAGATAGCCAATGAGATTCAGGGTTTCTGTGCATGAGACTGTAGTTAGTGTACTCATCAATATAACTATCTGTTTGTTATGCTATTGGGTACAGGGGTTAAAAAATCAATAAACACCGTCATTAAAGGAAACCAGATTTTCTTGGAGGAAATCGTGTCAGATATCGTAAAAAGAATAAAGCTATAATTGAAGTCCAATAGATAAAACAACTTTATATAAACTTAATTATTTTTATCAAACAGAGGCTTGATTGTGTGGTTAAGCCCTTTGATGGACACCCGTTAGGAAAAAGTATGGTGGTCATATTTTGAAATGCAAAATAAAGTGGTAAAGAATGCAATCAGCAAGGAATAAAGTAAATAGGCATGTAGATAACACTCTAAATTGTGTAGAAATGCAAGAAAATCAGGCAGTTCATTCAAATTTTGGAGAGATATGTTCAAAATTAGCATGTTATTACTGTTTTCCGAAAGTATTGAATTAATTTGATTAACCCAGATGTGCCTGGTTTGTAATACCTTTAATAACCGATAAAAGGAAATGATATCGCTTCTTAATTTTGATCCTCTTAGGTGCATGACACTTCCACGTGGGGAAGAGTCACCCATAATTCACTTAAAATGTTTCGAACCGAACCCTTTCTGATTTTTTTGTTCCGTGACATCTCTAGTTAGGATAGCGATAAGGGATAGGTAACTGATAATTAGTCTCTTTATTTGATGAGGATTTTGTGAGGAATTTGTATGAAAAAGAAAAAATGGATTAAATATTATTTTATATCATTTTAATGACTAATAGATGATTCTTCAACTGGAAATGGAAAATTTAAGAACAAAACTCCTGTTTTTACGTAAAAAATTGCAGAACATAGGGACATGTTAATGTCAAGTATGGGGGTATTAATATACATCTGGACTGGAGGTGTGAGTGCATGAATACAAACCATCAAATCTTTGACCTTCAGATCATGGTTTGAATTGGATGCAATTTATCTTTGCCTGTTTATACTAACAAGGTGCTCAGTTCCTAAAACATGAGGCTATTTTGAGTGTTAAGGTCTATTAATGGAGGGGAGGGGAAGTAATATAGATGGAGGTTTGTGTGTATGAATATAAACAAGGTTTGGAGTTCCTAAAACCTGAGACTATTTTGAGTGAACCTTCTATTTTAGATTGCATCATTTATTTTAAGATTTGTTAAAATGCAGCTGATCAGCCATCTGGTTATCAGCAAAGGAGGACAAATATCCCACAAGGATTTGTAATCAGATGTTAATCTTATGTTATCTGATTCAATAGAATATATGCTGAGAACCATGGGTAATTGCCTCCTTTGAGTGCTCATATCCTCTAAGCTATGAGAAAAATCAAATAACCATTAATACAGATTGTAGATTACTTTAACTTCTGAGGAAAACTAATTTACTTCAAGATCAAGCATCATAAATGTTAAAGATTTGCATCATGGTCTTTTTGATTGAGGTGCATTATGGGACACCGACACCTCCACTACATCAACATAACAACATAAACTCTGCACTTGAAAGTACAGCTGATAAAAAGTTGTTTTTGCCAAAAGAGATAAAATCATTAGAGCTCTGACCTAGAATTGTGATATTTGAGAATTAATAGATAGACTGTTCTTTTGACAACAATAACATAAAAACGATAATAATAGCTCCCCCATGTGTGCTAAATATGCATTGTTTGAGACTATTCAATTATGGGAGTTAAAGGGATCATGATTCAGAATGAGAAAATGATCCTGGTATACACTTTTTTGTCTGAACTGTTTGTTTTTTAATGATTTTTCTCTCTAAAATTTGAATGAAGTGTCTGATTTTCTTGCATTTCTATACAATTTAGAGTGTTAACTATATGCCTATTTAACTTATTTCTTGCTAATTCCACTCTTTTTCACTCTATTTTTTTGATGCAATGATAGATCAACACCTATTGTAATGCACGAATGTCTTTTAATTTAATAAAATATTTATAGAATAGGTTCATGTGGAAGATGACATGGTGGTCCTGTTTACATGATGATAGAAAGAAATAAACATCATCAAATTCCCAACCACGTTTCCATCGAAAAGACCCGAGGCATTCTGACTTAGTGGAGTCTCTCTTTATCTAGCAATAGAGGATGTGGAACTCACAATAGACCTGATCTAAAACAAGATGATTTAAATTTGATATACAGTGAAACCTGTAAAGTGGACCACCTCTAGAAGTGGAACACATCTGTTAGTAGAACACTTTTCAGCATCCCAAGACCAACTAACTTAATGTTAAATAAACCTCTATAAGTAGAACACCTCCCGAGTAGAACACCTTTTAGAGGTACCAAAGCTGCTCCACTGAAACAGGTTTTACTATATAACAAAAAAATCTCAGTCTGAATTTAGACACAAAAGCCAAGAAATGACAAGTACAAATTGGGCACTTCACTTTATAACATCAAAAAGTGTTAAATTAATTATTTAAGTATGTGATCTGAATCATGCATGTTCTAGCTAATCTACTCCTAAATTTGAACATCTGATCAGAGTTGTTTGTTGATAATGAAAAAACACTTGTAGTGATCATGCCTATTTCGCACATTTTCTCTCTAAAATTTGAATGAAGTGTCTGATTTTCTTGCATTTCTATACAATTTAGAGTGTTGATTACATGCCTGTTTAC